TCCAATGGTATTAGAGACATCCATCGATCCTGAAGTTACCACCTCGCCTAAGAAAAGGAATTCACCTTCAAGATCATCTTTCATGTTTCTTCACAGTTCCCCGAAGAAGGTGAAGAAGCCTGAGGGTGGAATAGTCCCAAAGAAGGAGGTGGGAGACGCATCATCACCAATTAAGTCCATCCTATCATCACCAATTAAGTCGAAGAGGAGGGTCATGTTAAATCCCCATCAAAATCACCGTTTAAGTTCCGTCACTCATCCCCAAAGAAGGTCAAACGCGGAGAGGTGTTGGTGGGGATGCCTCTGGGTCAAGGGAACGTAATACCGCCCCTCCCTGTGCCTCCCTGTAAACGGAAGAAGGAAACGTTTAGGAGTCCTATCAAGCACGCCCGGGTGATAGCCAGTCAGCGCCAAGAGAAGTAAGTGGTAGGGAATGACTGACTTTTTGAAGCACTAGAAGAATATCCTCCCTGAAAGATTACAACACCTTAACACTATTTGAAAAGATGTGGTTAGGTTAGGTTAGGATGATTAAACTTAAGGTGAAATAAGCTGGGGTGGAGATTTTTCAGGTGATTATGATTATTTCTCAAAATGATTCGTATGATATTGTTTTCGATACTTGGAGATAGTCAGTTAATGTACTTAACTTACTATATTATTTCACTGCACTTTGGTCACGTCTCTTTATGTTGTGGTGAATCCTGTTAGTGCATTCTACAGGCAGAGAAAGTTTACCCTAAGGGATATTTGAAACTCAGGGAAAATAACTAGACCTGAATTATTTACGGTTATTCATTCCTTCGTTTCACAATATAATCATTCAGTAAACTCTTCACTTAACATATACATAGATAGTGCCGGTATACAAGCAACGTATGTATACAATGTAGGTTAAAAGGCAATGGCAAAGATTAGGGATTCTTATCTTACATTGGGACCCTTAACTTACTTACATTGGGACCCTTAACTTACTTTACATTGGGACCCTTAACTTACTTACATTGGGACCCTTAACTTACATTGGTGCCCTTAACTTACATTGGTACTCTTAACTAAGTCACATTGGGACTCTACATTACAACTATACGTGGCAACTTTACAACTAATAGACAGAACTCAGATTTTTATACAAACTGAAGAACCACACACACACACACACACACAGCGTCACCGAGGACCCAGTGTGGTTATCGTGGGAGTATGGATCGTGTGTGTGGGGGAAGGAGGGTAGGTCTTGTGTGAGGTCAAACATCAGTGTCAAGAGATGTGATGGTGAGTCAGGGACCTTACCTCTCACGCCATAAGCAACACCACCGCCTCTACCATCACCACTACTACCGTCATCACCACTGCCATCAACACCTCTAGTACCATAATCAATACCGTCATCACCACTGCCATTAACACCCCTACAACCAAAAATTACACCTCTAACACCACCACCACTGTCATCACCAACACCACCATCACGGACACCACCACGAAAAACTATACCAACACCACCACCGGGCATCATCATCAACACCACCACTATCACCAAAAAGTACTCCTACAAAAACAACTCCAACACCACCACTGTCATCACCACCACTGTCATCACCACCACCACTGTCATCACCACCACCACCACCACCACTGTCACCACCACCACCACTGTCACCACCACCACCACTATCATCACCACCACCACCTTGCTCATGAATGGGAGTGGAAGGCTGGAGGTTATTCTTGAAACTCTTACGTCATAAATGCAGTTGGTTCATAAAACTCTTTCCTCGGGATGTAAACAAACAACTAATCAAATTGAAAACTGTTTTACCCATTATTCTAAATTCTCGTCATTTTAATTGGTTCTTCTTAAATCGAATATGTAATAGAATTTTTCAAACCATTTAGACGCCTCAAATATCGACATTGTTATAGGGGATCAAGAGTTACTGATTCATAATGTTGGAAGAATGAAGAGGTGAATGTTTTAGGGTAGAGAGGAGAGAGAGGAGTGAGTGAGTGAGAGGGAGAGAGAGTGAGTGTGGGAGAGAGTGAGTGAGTGAGTGAGTTAGTATTGATTGCTGTCTTATCCCGGAAATGCGCTGAATTTTGTCCATTTTTATCTATATTCTAATCTGTATGTTATTATTATTATTATTATTATTATTATTATTATTATTATTATTATTATTATACCACCAAATTCAGATGAGAAAATTGCCATTATTAACCCAGTTCCCGTTGGTTTGTCGTGAGAAATAAATAGCGTAGTTACTTTCTTGGTCGATATATTTTAGCAAAGAATATCCTAGTATTACGTACACCCTTAATGATTAATAGTTATATGAGTGTATAATAATAATAATAATAATAATAATAATAATAATAATGATGAGAGAAAATAAAGGAAGGGGGAAAACGAATTAAAAAACATATTCACCCAATTTTTCGTAGGATTAAAGAATAATTGCTCTTATTTACACATTTAAGTAACGTCATTAGGAGTTAAACATGACTGATATATCTTCTGCTGGGAAAATTGGACACTGAACATTAGACATCCCAGGTTATTTCACTTGGGGAGGTTAACGTTTGGGTGGTTAATCTTCAATTGAAATAAGCTGGGAATGTCTGAAGTTCAATATATCCCGTAATTTATAACTACTGTATATTGTGGGCGTGTTGTGGCAGTCAAACTAGCATGTTTTAACCATCTTGGGGAAGGTACAGACGTCTTGTTCAAATTATTAGAAACACAATGGTGAAATCAAAGGTGAAAATTGCTCTAGATGTTAAAATGGACCGGGAAAGTGTTCAGAAAGCGAGTTGTGTTTGAACGGGGAAACGGGTATAGAGCGTAAGTTTGCCGTTTACTGTACTTGAAGTCTAGTCAAGCATAGCGATTACGCCAATTTTATGTTGTAGAATTGGGATCAGTTTATATCGCTGCAGGAAAGGGAACAAGTTAAACCGGAAGATCACGTAGAGGAAGTTGTAGTTTTCGATGTGTAGCGAAAAATCAGAGTTGATCTTTTTTCTTATTTCTTTTTTTTACCTTGAAACGAGATAATTGATAGTAAGAAATGATGAGGCTTTGACCCTGTGTGTGTTTGGCCAACCAGAAGTCAATTATTATTAGATTTACATTATATATTTTTATTCATCCCGTATTACATTTTATTTTAATTTGAATACAGGGAAATATATTAGGTGTTATCTCAAATACATTATATATAAAAAAAATCTGGATAAGATTTTCCTCGAAACGGCCTCTTGATCACAGGACCTTCCCTCCCACTCTCCATTATAAAGAATAAGTCCACAATCCAAGAAAGATAGTTTGATTTCGCGTTGGTTCTGAATATTCACGTGACATGGACATAACTAGAGCTGTCAGTCAAATCATTCGAGATATGACCAAACTGAAAGGTATATACAGTACAGTCACGAACGCCGGATTATTAATATTGGCGACTGACTACCAAGAACTGCAGTGGTTGTGGGCGGCTTCCTCGACTCCGCGCTTCCACAAAAACAGGAAATATTTCACATTATTGAAGTAGGACAGTTCACAGTATCTCATTTTCTTGATATTATGTTACCCAATTTGTAATTCATAACTTAATAACGAGTGTAACTCGTATTTAATGGAACAATTTCAGGGATTGTGAAATTAGATGTTAGTTTTTCTGTTAATGTATGCAAGTATACAGTATTACAAAAGAACACTTGATAATACATAGTGTCTCGTATTTTGTCACTTTTGAAATCTGTAAGAAGTTAAATTAAATGTAAATAAATATCCATTTTCGCTTATAAAGTCTGTTGATGGTATCGGAAGTCATTCAGGACCTGGGATCATAGCATTAAAAGCGCTATGATTGAACCAGACAGACAATTTTAACTAACCCTTTATTAACTTTATGCTATACAATGTTGGAGTACTTTTTTTATTGACCGTCACGAACGTCAGGATTTTTTGGGGGATTGTGCCATGGTATGAGTATGTACTGTAAAGTTTTCATGACAGTTGAATTTAACGTTCCCAAAGATTTATAAACATCATAAACATTGAAGCTGGCATTTTGCATATTGTGGAACTTGTATTTTATATTCGTTAAGAAAGTTTTCGCATAAATATTGTGAAACTTGGGTTTAATGTTTCATAGGCGTTGGCAAACTGATGTTTATGGTCAGTCTTAGATGGTGCAATAATAACATTACAACAACATCAACATTGACAAGTTTTTCGATAGTTAAATTGTGGTAGAAGTTGAACGTGACTTCGATATATTTTGCATTAATAATAACAGTAAATTCTCACAAACACAACAAAATAAAATAACAAAAAACATATTTGACCTACTTCGATGTCTCATATATTTCATTGCGCCTGACCTTGTACCTATAGTGGAGGCAATCGGTCTACTAGTGCACTGTGTCGCCTCTTGAGCTGAATAAAGTCGTGTAGTGTTAGCAAAGCAAAATAATAAAAGTGGCGTCCCGGCAGTGAAAGGCTTAACACACTATAAAAGTCTTCTCTACACACACACACCACACACATTATATATACTGTATACGAGCGTTCCAAAAACAGTATCGTACTAACATTGCTACTTTGAAACCTCTGATATGAACCTTTAATAAACGCCATGATATTGACAACGGCCTTTAATATTGTGTTAAGTGGATCAATATCTGGGGCACTGAAATATTTGGGTGAGGCCAGTTACTGAAGGTCTGGGCCACTCGTCATTCAAAAACAGACTTTAACAGTATTCGTCCTTGGTTTTGTAAACTTTAATGCAACATGAGATTTCCCATTCAAAAACATCTATGAAGGTGTTTAGGCAAAAAAAAAATGGTTCTGGTAAAAAATAAAGAGAATGAGCAAAAAAAAAATAAAAAATTATCGCCGTCCTAGACCAGTTTAAAATAGGTTATACTAAGTCAGGTGTTAGAATATGTATGATGTAACTCACTCACAAATTCTGCCACTCGTAACTCAGACACCTAGACGCCTTCGAGTTCTACCGCGCCGAGGATGAACGGGAGTGGGCGCGGCGGTACGAGGAAGTGCATGTCGACACCAAGAGCGCTACCTCTATGTTCCGCCTCCTGCAGAGTAAACTACAGTACTCCGCCGCCTACCCTCACTTCCTCAGTCTCCTCCACCACCTCCTGCTACTACCCAGTAAGTAAAAAATTTGGCTGTTGTTTTTTGACAATGGGAGAAGATAATATTACGATAACGGAACATAAACTTTAACCCACCATATGATAATATTCCAATATTGTAGCGTTAACTATTGTCTTTTGTTAAGCCATCATATGTAGAAATAAAGACTTCGTTTGCAGTAATTAAAGAGTCTTCTGTAGTTGGACCTAAAGTAATTACAATGATAACTTTCATATTTTACAATAGATAAGTATAATAATATTATTTCTTTACTGTTGTTTGCTTCTTTATTTGTCGCCTTTTCTCTTTCTCGTTTATATATTTTCTCGTTAATTCCAGCAGTTTTAAATCACTCCGAACCATATTGATTTTTTTTTACATCACCGTAAATACGAATTTTTCCTAAACTGTTGCTAAATTTCAAGAGTCTTTTTACGTTCTGCCATAATTAGGCTAACACATTTTACAGTTACCCAAATAGCTGTTATCAAGCCACTTTAGACTAACCCTAACCTAACTATACGAGGATAGTTTTAATCACAAACCTTGTAACACTACTAGTATAGACTCAATCACAGCCATAGGTAACGTTACAATCGGATAGTCCCAATCACAGCCTTACATAACAGAACACTAGGATTATAACCTCAGCACAACCTTATATAACACTAGATAGTCCAGTCCGTCTGCCATAAGGGGAGAGATTGCCAACACACACGCCAACCATTCCTTCGTCTCACCAAATTGTCTCTCATAAAGTTAATGGCCAGGGTGTAATTTCGATAATAGTCCACGTCAGCTATCAGTCCCCTAATTCTCTATTGGATGTTTTTGTCAGGTGTTCATTATACTGTTTATTTTTTTCGTGTGTGAATTGTGTTTTAGAATGTTTTGTTTCTTTATGGTTTCGTAGTCTATTTACACGAATCCTTCTCTCCGCCTCCTCCTTCCACTCTCAACTATTCTTGGAACTTGGTTACTAATAATTTACTAGCAGAAACGCTGCTCATTCGCTAGGCCACGGTAGGACGCCACCCTCCGGGAGGCTCCACATTGTCTCAGTGTTCAGTCCCCAAAACTTCTTCCATCAATAGTTCATTAACACCACCCATCATCACTACATATAACATCATCCATCATCACTACATATAACATCATCCATCATCACTACATATAACACCATCCATCATCACTACATATAACACCATCCATCATCACTACATATAACACCACCCATCATCACTACACATAACACCATCCATCATCACTACATATAACACCACCCATCATCACTACATATAACACCATCCATCATCACTACATATAACACCATCCATCATCACTACATATAACACCATCCATCATCACTACATATAACATCATCCATCATCACTACATATACCACCACCCATTATCACTGCATATAACATCATCCATCATCACTACATATAACACCATCCATCATCACTACATATAACACCACCGATCATCACTACATATAACACCACCCATCATCACTACATATAACACCACCCATCATCACTACATATAACACCATCCATCATCACTACATATAACACCATCCATCATCACTACAGATCGGTAAAGTAGTTTCCGAGATTCTTGTGCGGACACACACAAACAGACATACAGTATAGTCTTGATTTACGCGGATTTTGTTTACGCGTTTGGTCATTTATGCGGCACCTTGCCAGAATGACAATTTTTAATTACGCGGTTCATTGCACCATTTAAGCTGCAAGCTGCGCGAGAGGTCCAGATGCGCCAATTATTATTCATGCGGTACATTCTTGACCATACGCGGGAAGCGGCGAGGGGAGGGTGCACAGTATGTCGCTGTTGCGTTATCGCTGACGTCATATGACATATCGCACTGTGACTGGGCCACACATCCTTACCTCCCTCCGCCGCTAGCTGTGATTGGTCTAATGTAGTATGACGTGCCCAGCCATGGGAGGGAAGGAGCCACTGACCTAGCCGGGCCAGTCTCATTGTTCTCAGTCTCCGCATATACTGTTCTCTCTTGTGCCCGCTAATCTGTTCAACAATGGCTTACGCTGGACCCCCACCACCCCAGAAAAACCTTGAATTACCTGGACCAAGCCGCCCCAAGCCCAAGAAGATACGACGCGCCCTAAGTTACGAAGCAAAATACAAAATCGTCCAGGAATTAGAAAAGGGAACCCGACAAGTTGATCTCGAGCGCCAGCGTGGAATTAACGAATCTACGATTCGTACAATCAAGAAGGATGCTGCCAAGATAAAAGAACACATGAGCATCACAAAGTCTGCAGGTGCTTCAATGGTGAAGTATTGTCAGAATAAGGTGCTGCTCAAGACTGAGAATTTACTGGTGAACTACTTGATTCGTCAGGCAAGACGGAACATGAGGGTCGACACGCGGGCAGTGCAGGGCTACACCCGTGAACTCTACGAATCAGTGGTGCGAAAGATGGGAATTGCAGAGCCCAAACCCTTCACTGCTTCCTCTGGGTGGCTGCAAGGGTTTATAAAACGCAACAAGATCACGAACATTAACATTGTTGGTGACGGAGCGAGTGTTGACCGTGCTGCGGCGATGGATTTTCCTCCATTCTTACAAGAAATTATGGAGGAAGGACAGTACACCGATGACCAGGTGTTCAACATGGATGAATCCGGGCTGTTTTGGAAGAAATTACCTTCCAAGACCTTCGTTGTCAAGTCTGCCAGCAAGTGTCGGGGCCAGAAGTTGCAGAAGGAGCGCATCACCGTCCTGTTCACCACCAATGCCTCCGGCACCTGTAAACTCAAGTTGTCGGTGATCCACACAGCCTGCAAGCAGCACGCCTACAAAAACATGGACATGACCAAGCTAAATGTCCACTGGCTAACCGCACTTAAGGCGTGGATGTGCACTGGTCTGTCCCTCTCCTGGTTTGACGACTGTTTCGTTCCCGACGTTAAGAAATTCTGCGAGCAACATAATGTTCCATTTAATATTTTGTTGCTCTTGGCAACGCACCAGGACACTCGCCCCTACTGTTGGATCGTCACCCCAGTGTAAAAGTGGTCTTCCTTCCTCCCAACACTACGTCGTTATTCCAGCCCATGGACCAGGAGTTGATATGCAACGTGAAGGCTGCTTTCTCCGCAAAGAAGTTTAAGCTCCTGAACGACTTCACCAACACCAAGGATGAGTTGCCGAACTTTCTGAGTGGCACAGATAGAGAGAGCGAGGACGAGGATCCAGAAGAAGAGTTGGCGGAGCATAAAGTGCGAGTAAAACAGTTTTGGAAAATGTTTAACGTCAAGAAAGCTGTTGATTTCTTGGTGGAGGCATGGGGGCTGTTGTCTGTGGCAACGATTTGTCACGTGTGGCGGCATGTGTTGCAAGATATCCCAGGTGGGAGGCAGAGGCAACCTGTGGCTGGTGAAGCTCAGTCTGTTGCAGTGGACCTTGCAAGAGAGGCTGCACAGAGTGTTACAGCTACAGGCTTCTCTGAGACAACCAACGACGACATCATGGAGGTAATCAGGGAACCTGAGGTGACTGCAGACGAGATGTTGGAAGATGATGATGTCAGTGAGGAGGCAGGTGGTGCGGCAGCACAAGAACAGAAGTTAACACATGGTGATGTAAAGGATGCCATCGAGTTTGCCGAGAAACTCAAGCTGACCCTTTCCAAAGACCATGTCAATCACTGATATGAAGTCTCCCATAACCATCTAGACCAAACTATGGAGCCGTATATCAAGATGTATCGTGACCACATCAACGCTAGCCGTCAGCGTAACATCACCGACTTCTTCACCCGCAACTGACCACAATCACAGCCAGCCCAAGTCAGCGATAGTGACAGTGATAGTGACTTTGAGGGGTTTGTCAGGGATGCCCTGACATCTGTGGTGGATAGTGATAGCGATTCATTTGAGGGCCACTAATATGCCCTCTGCCTCGGAACCAGCCTCCATCCCCGTGTGCCCAGCCATCTCTTCTACTAACGTAAGTGTTAAACCTTGATTTTTTTTTTTACCTGGTACAGTATATTATTCTCTTATTGATATTTCTGGTACAGTATATTATTCTCTTATTGATATTTCTCTTCTATATTATGTGTGTGTGCATACCATCATAAAATTAAAATACTATTTTTACTACAACGTACGTATTGTGTCGGAAAAAGTGGAGTTTGGGGGTCGGCCCAGTCTCTATTTCAATTAATCCCAAATGTTCTGTTATTTCGTTTACGCGTTTCTCGTTTTACGCGGACCTCCACGGGTTCAATTGACCGCGTAAATCAAGACTATGTTGTACTTATTCGTTTTATATAGATAAGATGATATTTCTTGTTTGAACTTGTTTTTAGATGAACATTATTTGTCATCACTTTATTTGTCATCTGGTCTGATTTCTTGTGGATGAGGTTGGATGTTACAGCGATAGTGATGATTTGATAACATCCAAAATGATGAAGATATTGATGATAGTGATGATATTAATGTTGTTGGTGATGGTAGTGATGATTTTGATGGTAGTGATTATGATGACAGTGACGAGATTGATAATATTGATTTGCAAGATGGTAGTGATGTTGATAATGATGATGATTGTAGTTTACACAATGTAGACCACTCAGTTAACTTAATGTACACCACTCAATTTAAACATTGTACACCACTCAATTTAAACATTGTACACCACTCAATTTACACATTGTACACCACTCAGTTTACACAATGTACACCACTCAGTTTACACATTGTACACCACTCAGTTTACACATTGTACACCACTCAGTTTACATATTGTACACCACTCAGTTTACACATTGTACACCACTCAATTTAAACATTGTACACCACTCAATTTACACATTGTACACCAGCTTCCACAATACTGTACTATACACCACCCAGTTTATGCACTGAACACAAGCTTTCATTTTGTACACCAGAGTCTGTACTGAAGGTAAGTGAAAATTTATTCATAAGCACAGTTTATATTATGTAAA